TATATTTTCTCTCGCTTTATTTTGTAGTTAATCAAATGACAAACATTACAAAACTTGAGTTTGTTGCACTTGACGTCTCTGGCAAAAACTATCTATCACGGGTACTTGACGCTGACATCCATCTTGTCTTAAAAGGTTTGTGAGAGATAATAAAAGAAGGAAACAAAGAATCCCTACAGGATCATGCAAAAGCACTTATATTCCTTCGTCATTATCTTCACGATGGATTGAAAATTGAATATCTTACTGAGAAAGATTCATAGGTTCTTTGGAAAAAATTAACTGAAAGATTTGATCATCAAAAAACTATAGTATTTCCCAAAGCCCGCTATGAGTGGATGCACCTTCGTTTGCAAGATTTTAAAACTGTTAGTGAGTACAATTTTAAATTGTTCAGAATATATTCAAAATTAACATTGCGTAGAGAAAAAAATCACTAGTGAAAATATGTTGGAGAAAACTTTTTCCACCTTTCACGCCTTGAATTTGCTCTTGCAGCAGCAATATCGCGAGTGTGGTTTCAAAAAGTACTCAGAACTTATATCTTGCCTACTTATTGCTGAACAAAGTAATGAACTGCTGATGAAAAATCATGGATTACGTCCAACTGGTTTTGTATCATTGCCTGAAGCAAATGGTACTGCATTGCCTGAAACAATTGAAATATCAAGACAAGGACAAGAGCATGAACGTGGGCGTGGATGTGCACGTAAAATAAATCATGGACGAAATAATCAACAATAAGACAACAATTTCCAAAGACACAAAGCAAACGAAAGCAGCATATTTAAAAAGGTACAAAAAGAAAATTGCTTTAGATGTAAAATGAAAGGGCATTGGACACGTATCTGTCATACAGCAAAACATCTTGTGGATCTTTACCAAAAATCAATCAAGGGAAAGGGGAAAGTTGAGACAAATTTTGCTGACTATGATGGTCCAATTGATGTAACTTATTTGGATGTCTTCGACTTCTTTGCTGATCCAAATGAAAATATTGATAATTTGATTGGGGGTGGTGTGATGGAAGATATAGATTAATTTTTTTTTTTTTTTTATGTTTCTAGTATTTCCTTTTATTTTAAAATTTTAGTTTGAAATATGTTTTTACTTTTCGCAAAAAAAAATTGAACTTTATTATGCATCGTTAATTTCACAAGTATTTATTATGTTATCTTTTTGAATTTAAATTCAAGTTTTTTTAAAATATATCTATTTTGTTATATTGATATATTCATGATGAATTGTCAAGATACTTGCTTGATTGATAATGTAACTCCACATACTATTTTTCAAGACAACAAATATTTCTTGAACTTAACATTGAAAGAAAATAATGTCATTACAATATCAGGTGCATCAAATATCGTTGAAGGCTCCGGAAGAACTTGTATTATTTTACCAAATAATACTAAATTATATATTGGCGATACACTTTAATCGAGCAAGTCTAGAAGAAATTTGCTTAGTTTTAAAGATATCCGTTGCAATGGATATCATATTTAAATGACGTAAGAAAATAATGTCGAATATCTCTGCATAACTTCTTTTATATCTGGTCAAAAACAGATAAAAGAAAAATTCTATGCACTCCCATCTAGTATGTATTATACATTTATAAAAATGGTTAAATCGAATAATGTCACGAACCAGAAGTTCATTAACCCAAAAAGTTTTATATATTGGCATGATCAACTTGAACATCCGGAGCTATGAGATGCGTCGAATAATAAATAATTTACACGGTCATCTTTTAAAGAACCAGAAGATTCTTTTACCTAATAATTATCCATGTGTAGCTTGTTCACATGGCAAATTAGTCATTAGACCTTCAACTGCAAAGGTCAATATTGAATCTCTAACTTTTTTGGAAAGAATTCATGGAATTATATGTTGGCCAATACACCCACTATGTGGACCATTTTGTTATTTTATGGTATTGATTGATTCTTTTACTAGATGGTTGTATGCCCATACACAAAATGGTTTGGCAGAGTCGTTTATTAAACGTCTACAGCTTATTGCTAGATTATTACTTATAAAAACAAAACTCCCAGCTTCTGTTTGGGATCATACCATATTACATGCTGCATCATTGGTTCGTATTAGACCAACTGTCTATTATCAATATCCACATTTGCAACTGGCATTTGGTTATGAACATGATATTTCTCACCAATGGGTCTTTGGTTGTGCTGTCCAAGTCCCTATTTCACCCCCCACAACATACTAAAATGGATCCCCAACGAAGACCTAGGATTTATGTGGGTTTTGATTCACCATCAATTATTACGTATCTTGAGCATTTAACGAGTGACTTATTTACTGCACGTTTTGCAGATTGTCATTTTGATGAAATGACTTTCCCAACTTTGGGAGGGAAAAATCTCATCCTGAAAAATGAGGTAAAATTACTTGGAATGAAACAACTCTATCTCATTTTGATTCCCATGGCAATCAATGTGAGCAAGATGTTGAAAAAATCATTCATTTGCAAAGAGTTGCAAATCAATTACCTGATTTATTTGTTGATACAAGAAAAGTGACAAAATCGTATGTTCCGGCAAAAAATATTCTAGCAAAAATTGATGTCCCTGTAGGACAATCTGTTATAGCAAATGAATCTCAAATACGCCGGAATTGTGGTATACCAATTGGTTCAAAAGATTCTGTACCTCGAAAAAGAAAGGTACATGAGAAAAACCAACCAAAAGTTTCTGAAAAAATCACATTAGAAAAGATTGATCAATCAGATATTGAAAATACGGTTCCTGAAGAATCACAAGTGTCCGAAAATAATGAGATTTCAATAAATTATTTATTATCTCAAAATTATGAGAACGAAATAATGTTGTTATAGATAATATTTTTGCCTTTAATGTGGCTCTTGATATTATACAAAATGAGAATCCTGAACCACAGCCGGTTAAAGATTGTCCAAATAGAAATGATTGGTTAAAATGGAAAGAAGCGATACAGGGGGAATTGAATTATTTGGAGAAACGAAAAGTGTCGAGACTCATAGTTCGAACACCTGAAAATATAATCTCTGTTGGATACAAATAGATTTTTGTACGAAAGATGAATGAAAATAATGAAATTACAAGGTACAAAGTCCGACTAGTAGCTCAAGATTTCTCACAAAGACCAGAAATTGATTACGAGGAAACATATTCTCCCTTAATGGACACCATTACTTTTAGATTTTTAATTAATTTGACCGTGTCACAAAAACTTGATATACGCTTTACGGATGTAGTAACTACATATTTATATGGTTCACTTGATAGTGACATATATATATATATATATATATGAAAGTCCCCGAAGGACTTAAGGCGCCAGGAACAAATGATATATGCCTGAGAATCACGTTCTCAATTAAATTGTAAAGATTATTATATGGATTAAAACAATTAAGACGCATGTGGTATAATCGCCTTAGCGAATATTTGTTGAATAAGGGTTATAAAAATGACGATATCTATCCATGTGTTTTCATAAAGAAAACAAATAGTGGATTTGCAATTGTGGCAATTTATGTTGATGATTTAAATTTAATTGGAACTCTTGAAGAGCTCAACAAAATTGTTGATTATTTGAAAAATGAATTTGAGATGAATGATTTAGGAAAAATCAAATTTTGTCTCGAATTGCAAATTGAACATTTCACATATGGATTATTTGTTCACCAATCTACGTATACAAAAAAGTTTTAAAACTTTTTTATATAGATAATGCATATCCATTGACATCACCTATGGTTGTTCGATGACTTAATATGAAAAAAGATCTATTTCGTCCACTTGAAGATGAAGAAAATGTTTTCGGTCCTAAAGTACCGTATCTTAGTGCAATTGGAGTATTAACTTATCTTGCAAATTGCACTTGACCCGACATAACTTTTTTTGTAAGATATAGCTCTACACCAACTCAAAAATATTGGAATGATGTTAAACATATTTTTCGTTACTTAAAGGGTATCATTGATTTGAGATTATTTTATTCTCAAAAGTCGGGATCTGCTTTAATGAAATATGCAGATGCATGTTATCTATCCAACCCACATAAAGCTAAATAACAAACAAGTTATGTGTTTACACGTGGAGGTACAATTATATCATGGAGATCTGTGAAACAATCATCAACAGAATATCTTCAAATCATTTTGAAATTATTGCAATCTATGAAGTAGCTCGAGAATGCGTATGATTGAGAAACATAACTCATTATATCCAAGTATCATGCGAATTAATTTCAACAAAGGATAGTCCAACAATTTGTATGAAGACAATGTAGCTTATATGCACAACTTAGAGGAGGTTATATCAAATGTGACAGAACGAGGTATATTTCTCCAAAATTCTTTCATACACATGAGTTTCAAAAGAATGGGGACATCGATATCCAACAAATTCGCTCAAGTAACAATATGATCGATTTATTCACAAAAGCACTGCCTATATCTACATTCAAGAAATTAGTTCATAAGATTGGAATGCGTCGATTTAAAGATTTTCAGTGATCAACATCAGGGAGAGTAGCCGTACTCTTTTTTCTTCACTTAGGTTTTGTCCCACTGAATTTTCCTAACAAAGTTTTAATTAGACAACATTTATTTTTTAGTACTCCAAAATAACTATACTATTTTTCCTTCATTTTGATTTTTTCCCATTAGATTTTTATTAAACAAGATTTTAACGAGGCATATATTTTGTAATATGTTATTCAATGGAAGGTGTTGTAAAATAAAAGTTTATTAGGGTGTAGAGGTGAATGACTCTGCAGCCTTAAAAATAGTTATTGTTGTACCCATAATTCTGTCCTATAAATAAAAAAAATTAATTCTTAATAACACAAAAACAAATTTATTGCATTTCTCTTTTTTTCACTTTTATAATAATGATTAATTTTTTGTTTTATTCTATGACCTTTTCGTGTTCCCCACATAAGAAACGGTTAAGATTTTAAGAATTCTATAAAAACTGACAGAACCGCAACTCGCGCCATCTCTACCCTTAGAATTCCAAAAGAACTCAAAATCTCTCTCAGAAACCCTAGTTTTACGTTTCTAATGAGTCAAAATATCAAAGAAGAAAACATGGAAAATTCATCCAAAGAGGCGGCGGAAAACAAGAAATTACCATCTCAGCCTAGCGTAATTTCTTTAAGCAGTAGCAGCAGCAGCAGCAATTGTGATAGTTTTGATTCTGATGACTCCGATTTGGACGGTTGGGATATTGAAGGGAACCTGAGGAAGAAGCAGAGGATTGAAACAGCTGTACTGCCTGTCGGTTTTCTCGACCCGCTTACACCCGAAGAACGCTTGGCCATTCAAAAGGAAATAACTACAACCTCGACCATTGAGAATAACAATAATTCTTTTGCGGGATTGTCCAAAGTACCGACTAAAGTGAAACAGGAAAGTTTTGAGAATTCGTGTAATGGTTTTAATAATCAAGCAGTTAGTCCTCCTGCGGTTCGCAGTTGTAAGCAGTTCTGGAAAGCAGGGGATTACGAGCGCAAGAATGACGACGATTCAAGTTCAAGAACAGGTAATTAATGGTTCCGCTTTTCCTTGAATTGTTTTCTTTTTTAATATCTTCTAGCGTTAATTTGTATATTGTTATATAGCGTGTTTTGGTTTATTTCTTGTTTTTAGTGCATGGAAATCGGGATTTGATTGTATGAACTAAAATTTTGATATTTATGTCAATTGATAGCTTGGTCACGAGGACGATAAACTCCCATGATTCTGGGGATTTGTCAAACTCAACTGTAGTTAGGACACAGAAGTGAGACAGGCTATAAAGAGGATGAAATGAGAAAAAATTGGGTTGGATTACAAATTGTTCAATGAGATCTTAAAGAGTAAAAATATGTCAAATAAACGGAAGAAGCATCTAATGGTTGATCAAACTATTCAATGAGAGCTTTAGAGTTATGCTGTCCTAGAGAAATATGTTACCTGGGAGAGTATAGACCAAAATTAACATGATATTGTGATTGTGAAGGATCTAACTGAGCATATTGTTAATTTGTTTTGACTCCTTCAAGTCAGAGATGCTGAACTGGTTTGAAAATTAAATTTTTATGCATTATTTAATTGTAATCTATAAGACTGCATTTTTGTTTTCCTTGTAAATGAAAATAAGAAATCATAACAGTTTGACGAGGGATTATTCCTGTGTTTTTTAAGTCCTTAAGTGGTCACTACTATTATCATAAAACTTAACTGCATTGTTCTTGAGATGCGTAATGAGAAATTGCTAAATTAGAATTGAGTTAGATTATCTTAAGCTTTTAAAAGAAACCACAAGAATGACTTGCTTTGCACGTTAAATGGATGTGATTATCTGATAGTCTCCCTGCTTATTATTTATGTTCTCAATTCGCCCTGTCAGGATTATCTGATAGCATGGATCATGTCAGGATTCATCCGAAATTCTTACATTCAAATGCAACTAGCCATAAGTGGGCTTTGGGAGGTAAACCTTCATTTGAGCCTGTGAGGTTTTAGCTATATTTGAACTCATCTTTTCTGACCATGATTTCTGTGTTCCAGCTTTTGCTGAGCTTCTAGATAATGCCTTAGATGAGGTACTGACTAATTGCATTGGGAGCTAAATGCATTTTTCTCTTTAATGTTTTTGTTTGCCGACCACATAACAACTAATTGATTGTCAGGTTAACAATGGAGCAACCAATGTCCACGTGGATGTGCTCAACAATAGGAAGGACAATAGTAAAATGTTGTTGATAGAAGGTATTAGCTCTTTCCCTTCCATTTTTTCTTTCTGTTCAATTCTTTTTCCTTTTAATTTTTTAGGGGTTGGGAGGTTTTAAGTCTTTCCCCTCATAAAAATGCCAACAAAAATTTTGGTATTTTTTTACACTTTAGTATTCCTTTCTACCATTGAGCGTAAGTCTCATGAGAAGGGGATGGTGAAAATTTTCAAGTACTGGAATAAGTAGTATTATATTTTCAATGTATAGATTCTAATTTTATTGAACTTATATCAATAATGTCTTTAAACCAATTAAAAACATGGAAGCTTTTTGAAAATTTCAAAATGTTATTTATCATCTTACAGATAATAAAAATTTCAGTTGCTGCTGGCGACTGTGCATCTTTACTCATTTAATATTTACAATTGCTGATTACAGATAATGGTGGTGGCATGAATCCTGATAAAATGCGGAAGTGCATGTCTCTAGGGTATTCTGAGAAAAGCAAAATTCCCAACACCATTGGTCAATGTGAGCTATTACATTATATAGAAATCATATGTATCAAATTCTGGTTATTTTTGGTTTTTATTAATTTTAAAATTTTCACCAGATGGTAATGGTTTCAAGACTAGTACTATGAGGCTTGGGGCAGATGTCATTGTATTCTCACGTTGTCAGGGGACAGATGGAAGAAGGTAGTTGCTTTATCATTAAATCAGTTTTGTATTTACGGCTTTTTTAGCTGCCACTGCCATTGATGCTATTCAATCATCTCATCGTGTCATCTGAACTGAACTCTTCCAAGTTTCACAGTATGGGACTGATTAGATTATTTCATTTTATTTGCCTGTAGTGCAAAACAGAGTATCGGATTGCTGTCCTACACTTTCTTGATGGAAACCGGAAAGGAAGATATTGTGGTCCCCATGGTATGTGATCTATGATTCATGTGTTAAAGTTACGGCTTTAATGAATAAATTCATATTATCATTAGTAGATGGAGTACACTGGTGAATGGTGAGTGGAATGGATGTTGCATTATCTTTATTATATGCTAATTTTACTAATGTTGTACTTGAAGCTTGTCTACGTGTACATATGCATGCAAATATTTCGGACGCCTAATTTTTTCACTCTAATAAATAGATTGATTATGAGAAAAGAGGTGACACCTGGAACAAGATGGTACGCTTTTCCTCAGTTGATTGGGATAGAAATCTTAGAACCATTCTGCAGTGGTCTCCATATGGAAGTGAAGAAGATCTCCTTCAACAGGTAGTGTATAGACGTTAAAAATTAATCTAGTGGTATATAATGAGGTGTACCTAAGGTGTACACTGCTCTCACATGGGGTGTAGGGTCCACCCGAGTAAATGTTTTTTATTCAAGTGGATTACACACCCCATGTGAGAAGGGTGTATACGCTTAGGTACACCCCTATGTACCACTAGCACCACTGATGCATCCGCACTGCAATTGACTAACAGTAGCCATCATAGATCACCTATTGATGCCACTGAAAATGTGGGAGCAACTCAGTCTGAGGCACAAGCTAAAAATCATAGCAATACATCTTCAATTAGTGGGAGCCCTCAAGTAGAACCTGTATCAGATCAAACTGCTCAAAACTTGAGTGTGAAGGTAAATTACATAGTGCTTGGCTTTTTTGCAGCTTGATTTGCAGAACAATTTATCACCTTTTCCCCTTCAGTTATTTCATGCCATTCATCCGAAAACATTTTTCTTTGCTCTGTCGTGCATGCTTTAAGCTGCGTTCAAACTATCTTAATTTTTGTAAAGCACTGACTCATGGAGATTCATTGTTCTAAAGTAGCTGGTTTAGAGAGTTCATGACGAACATGGTTTATAAAATTGAAGTGTTAACACCTTTTTCCTGGTTTAATGATGAGTTTTTTCCCCATCATAAACAGACTGAAAAGGTTAGCAGAGATGCATATGCGGCTTATCCTTCCACAACAGAGATGGTACTTGGTTTGGCAGAAGAAAATAATTCCTTGCGGAATAGGTGGTTAATTTAATTCTCGTTTATAACATGGGACTTGTTTGTAATAAATTTGATCATATTCTTTTATTGCTGAATTGTGACTTTTGCCTTTTCTTTTCCAATTCTCTGCATGCAGTTTAGAGGAAGTCCTGCAAAATTTGGTGTTTGAACGGGACAGAAATGTATTACTTCAAAATCAAGTAAGCACTACTTGGCGTCTTCAGTTTTGAATTTTTTTGTCTGCTTATCTCAGATATGAAAGTGTTGGGATTTTGGATCAGTTGAAATGGTTGCAGAACCAAAAAAACTACCTTAAATATAATTTCTAATTTCATGAAGTGGAGTCGATGTAACTTATTCATCTAATCAAACAGACTCAATAAGTTCAATTGGGAAACTGATTCATTAATGTTTAATAATGGCATGCCATGCCACTTCTTGCAACAGCTTCAAGATACGCAGGAAAAATTGGAAAAATTTGAAGTTTTTGTTAGTACCTTCGCGGAAGAAAGAAGCAGGCGAGATCAGGAGGAAGTGTGTTTGAGGAAAAGAATAAAGGTCGGGATGGTTTTACTTTTATCATTCTTCGTTTACTATTTATCGTTACTTTGTTCTTCAGATTCTCAATTTTGACTATCTTTTCAAAAGTAATGGAATAATTTCTTGTTGTTGCAGGAAGCTTCCGAAACCATTGAAGGGTTACTCCATAAAATCAAGATGCTAGAGAATAGAGGAAGAGTTTAGTTTGAAATTCAACAGCAATGCTTTTCTTAATAACTTAAACAAACGCTTTGATTTTTTCTTCCGCATATATTATTAAATCATTGGTTACATTAATTTCGTGTAGTCGGAGAAAACAAAACTAACATAGCTTCATTGTACTTCTATATGGAAAATTCTAGAAAGAGATTCTCGACATATGCTTGTTTGGGTCTTGATGGGTGTACAGGGTAATATTCTACAGACATCTAACAATGGGGTGGGATCAGTATTTTTATGGCCATTTTTATTACATGAGATCCCGCATGAGGCCAACCCTTATGTGAGTGCCCTGTAGAATGCCCGTATATTTCTACCATGTACATCAAAGAAAATTGTACTTGTTCGGGAGTAGAATGGTGAAATGACATTGCTGCCCATCCTTGTGTATATTTTTTATTTTGATTTTTTGCTGGAAAATGAAAACGATAGCGACTAGGCCAAATGACATGACTTTATTCGATGTGACATTAATTTTGGCTCTTGCTGTATAAAAAGATTAAGATTGATGAGAAGAAAACAAAACATAAATGTCAAACTTTTTACTTCATTCTCTGTACGAAGGATTGCTCAGAGTTGCATCAGTACTCAAATTAGAAATTTTTTAAGAACACCAATCGAGTAACTACTCCAGAACTCCCAAGAAAGAGTTAGCCAAAAAGAAGAGATGTTCTAAAATAGAGGGCTTGATATCAAGAAACTAAAAATGAACCAAACCCCTTCTGCTGCATTTTTTCCTCCTGATAGTTAAAAAAATGGCCATTAAAGCCAGAGGGCTCCAGCTTCTTTGAGCAGTGGAACCAAAGTGCCATTAATATGTGACGCCATTACCCTATCCATAGCACCAACAAGTTTGCCGCCGACGAACACCACCGGCACGGAGGAGCCACCGCCAAGCACCCTCATTAATGCTGTTTAATAATGGCATGCCATGCCACTTCTTGCAACAGCTTCAAGATACGCAGGAAAAATTGGAAAAATTTGAAGTTTTTGTTAGTACCTTCGCGGAAGAAAGAAGCAGGCGAGATCAGGAGGAAGTGTGTTTGAGGAAAAGAATAAAGGTCGGGATGGTTTTACTTTTATCATTCTTCGTTTACTATTTATCGTTACTTTGTTCTTCAGATTCTCAATTTTGACTATCTTTTCAAAAGTAATGGAATAATTTCTTGTTGTTGCAGGAAGCTTCCGAAACCATTGAAGGGTTACTCCATAAAATCAAGATGCTAGAGAATAGAGGAAGAGTTTAGTTTGAAATTCAACAGCAATGCTTTTCTTAATAACTTAAACAAACGCTTTGATTTTTTCTTCCGTATATATTATTAAATCATTGGTTACATTAATTTCGTGTAGTCGGAGAAAACAAAACTAACATAGCTTCATTGTACTTCTATATGGAAAATTCTAGAAAGAGACTCTCGACATATGCTTGTTTGGGTCTTGATGGGTGTACAGGGTAATATTCTACAGACATCTAACAATGGGGTGGGATCAGTATTTTTATGGTCATTTTTATTACATGAGATCCCGCATGGAATGCCCGTATATTTCTACCATGTACATCCAAGAAAATTGTACTTGTTCGGGAGTAGAATGGTGAAATGACATTGCTGCCCATCCTTGTGTATATTTTTTATTTTGATTTTTTGCTGGAAAATGAAAACGATAGCGACTAGGCCAAATGACATGACTTTATTCGATGTGACATTAATTTTGGCTCTTGCTGTATAAAGGGATTAAGATTGATGAGAAGAAAACAAAACATAAATGTCAAACTTTTTACTTCATTCTCTATACGAAGGATTGCTCAGAGTTACATCAGTACTCAAATTAGAAATTTTTTAAGAACACCAATCGAGTAACTACTTCAGAACTCCCAAGAAAGAGTTAGCCCAAAAGAAGAGATGTTCTAAAATTGAGGGCTTGATATCAAGAAACTAAAACTGAACCAAACCCCTTCTGCTGCATTTTTTCCTCCTGATAGTTAAAAAAATGGCCATTAAAGCCAGAGGGCTCCAGCTTCTTTGAGCAGTGGAACCAAAGTGCCATTAATATGTGACGCCATTACCCTATCCATAGCACCAACGAGTTTGCCGCCGACGAACACCACCGGCACGGAGGAGCCACCGCCAAGTACCCTCATTAATGCCGTGCTAAGAGGATCTACGTAGTTTTTGCTTTAAAAGGATTGAAAAAATATGTAAACACAGCACAAAGACATACTCTGAAAGTTTAAGGTGGCTTTATTGACTTTTGCCTTGCTATATTAGATACATACATAGTACTAGTGTTTTATTCAGGGATAAAGCTACTTTATCGGAAGAATTTGATAGAAAACTTGGTATAATTGCATGTAGCAATAAATGATTGGATGAAAAAGTTGATCGTATTTTAAATTGTCGATAAAGCTACTTTATCAGAAGAATTTAATAGAAAACTCGACATATTTGCATGTGGCAATCAAGGTCGGCCTTAAATCAGTTTCAAATATGGAACCCTATATATAAGGTCGGCCTTATATCAAATTTTTATGTCAACATTTATGATAGATAGTGTAGCATGATTTACTCAAGGATAAAGCGTTTTAAGAGCAGGTAAAGAATGATTTTCTTACACACACAATCTCGGTATTACATTTGTATGTTTAGACGGCTAAGGCCGTCCTTGTTGTCGGGTCGTTACCAAAGAAGTTAATGCACATGTTGTCTCCTCTTGATTAATGCCCATAATACACCAACGTTGTATCTCCTATTAGTTAATGTGCCCAACATTAAAAATACAACTCTTGGACAGTTAAGGCTGATGACATTCATTCATGCTCGATAGGTGAGTATTTCGGTCAAACTTCCTTATGCTTTTCTACTCAAAAAAATCCTCATCTCGTACCTTTTGAAATGATCGGTGGCGGATTCGAAATTTTTGTTAGAGATAGTTGAAACTAAAATAAAAATAAAAATCGATGTGGTAAAATTTATATACACCATAAGCTGGTTTGGCCACTACAATTCAATAATTTCATTTAAATATGCGCTATTATTAATAGTAATTATCAAATAAATGAAAAAAAAATTAGTGACATGATGGCAAATGAAGTACTTACTAATTGTGTAGTCTACAATTCAAACAGGTGTGGGGTATGAATCTAAATATAAGAAAATAATAATAATAAGGCTTTAAATTGTTGGAATGAAAATGCAATTGATTCATCAAGTAGCAACATTATAAGGATAAAATCAATCGACAAATAATATCATAAAATGTAATGAAAAAATTAAAATTTTGCCGCGGTATTATATAGCTAAAATAATAATAATAATAATAATAATAATTTTTTTTTTATATAAAAGTGATGAAATGTGGTTTAAAACTTGTGAATTCCAAAAAATGTGTTGTTAAAATTAATTGTTGACTTTGACTTAAATTTTAATAAGATTTTAAGCCACACCAATCAAAGGCTTAATTTACAAGTTCTTGATTTTCATTTATTATTGTTGTTGTTGTGAAATTAAATTCAAAAAAGTTTTAAAGAAAATCATTTTTGAAGTCAATCTCACTCCTTCAAAGAAAAATAAGAATTCTGCATTTTCTTTACAACCCACTTGATCAATGATCACAGTAAGATTTTGCACGTGATCATGTTATGTCAATAATATTCAGCATTGTTTAATATAGCAAACGACAATTAAAATATTATTCATAATGATTTTTTTTTATTTTTACTATTATTTTCCTATTAATTTGATTGTATAATCATTCAAATGCGTTATTGAATTAAAATTTAAATACAATAATTAATCATTCACCACTATATAAAAAATATTGAAAGGGATAAAAATTAGCAATAAGACAGACAAAAATGTATAAAAATGAATATGGTTAGGGTTTGGATCGGGCTCTAGTCGAGTCTAGCCGCCCCTTATATTTGTCCATGGAGAGAGATGGCTATGATTAAGTTCCATAGAAACTATCAAGTCCACATTAGGGCCCCCCGGGGCATATCCCAACGATGTAAAGGACATGAGTGAAGTTATTTCATGTCTTGCTGACAGTCGCAATGTGGGGGTTCGATTCTTAAGACATGAAATTGGACTTTTTGTAGGTACATTGTACATGCAGCTCTTGTTTCTTGACTTGCTAGAGTACATCCCACAATTTACCTCTCTCACAAAACTCTAGGGACGGAGCGGTGGGGGCCCTCAAGGTTGGAATTTAACCTTTTTTTTTTTTAAATTATCAAGTCCACATTAGGGCTTTGAGCAATATAATATAAACATGGTATGATGGTAAAGTCTGCATGACGTTAAATTTGTCGACTTTCTTAACAAGTGCCCTACTTGTGATTAAGATAGAAGAGTAGTCGAGGCAGCAAATTGAATGTTTGTTTCATTATTTATGTACTTTGGTATCTAAAGTAGTAAGAATTTCAATTTTGTGCTTGAATCATTAAGGTATAAGGGAGGGGGGGGGGGGGTTATCTGATGTTGTCGCAACGCGTGCTAAGAGGATCTACGTAGTTTTTGCTTTAAAAGGATTGAAAAAATATGTAAACACAGCACAAAGACATACTCTGAAAGTTTTAAGGTGGCTTTATTGACTTTTGCCTTGCTATATTATATACATACATAGTACTAGTGTTTTATTCAAGGATAAAGCTACTTTGTCGGAAGAATTTGACAGAAAGCTTGGTATAATTGCATGTAGCAATAAATGATTGTATGAAAAAGTTGATCGTATTTTAAATTGTCGATAAAGCTACTTTATCAGAAGAATTTAATAAAAAGCTCGACATATTTGCATGTGGCAATCAAGGTCGGCCTTAAATCAGTTTCAAATATGGAATCCTATATATAAGGTCTTCCTTATATCAAATTTTTATGTAACATTTATGATAGATAGTGTAGCATGATTTACTCAAGGATAAAGCGTTTTAAGAGCAGGTAAAGAATGATTTTCTTACACACAATCTCGGTATTACATTTGTATGTTTAGACGGCTAAGGCCGTCCTTGTTGTCGGGTCGTTACCAAAGAAGTTAATGCACATGTTGTCTCCTCTTGATTAATGCCCATAATACACCAACGTTATATCTCCTATTAGTTAATGTGCCCAACATTAAAAATACAACTCTTGGACAGTTAAAGCTGATGACATTCATTCATGCTCGATAGGTGAGTATTTCGGTCGAACTTCCTTATGCTTTTCTACTCAAAAAAATCCTCATCTCGTACCTTTTGAAATGATTAGTGGCGGATTCGAAATTTTTGTTAGAGATAGTTGAAACTAAAATAAAAATAAAAATCGATGTGGTAAAATTTATATACAACATAAGCTGGTATGGCCATTACAATTCAATAATTTCATTCAAATATGCGCTATTATTAATAGTAATTATCAAATAAATGAAAAAAAAATTAGTAACATGATGGCAAATGAAGTACTTACTAATTGTGTAGTCTACAATTCAAAAAGGTGTGGGGTATGAATCTAAATATAAGAAAAAAAATAATAATAAGGCTTTAAATTGTTGGAATGAAAATGCAATTGATTCATCAAGTAGCAACATTATAAGGATAAAATCAATCGACAAATAATATCATAAAATGTAATGAAAAGATTAAAATTTTGCCGCTGTATTTTATAGCTAAAAAAAAATTGATTTTATTATTATTATTATTATTTTAAGTTATGAAATGTGGCTGAAAAATTGTGAATTTCAAAAAATGTGTAGTTAAAATTAATTGTTGACTTTGACTTAAATTTTAACAAGATTTTAAGCCACACCAATCAAAGGCTTAATTTACAAGTTCTTGATTTTCATTTATTATTGTTGTTGTTGTGAAATTAAATTCAAAAAAGTTTTAAAGAAAATCATTTTTGAAGTCAATCTCACTCCTTCAAAGAAAAATAGGAATTCTGCATTTTCTTTACAACTCACTTGATCAATGATCACGGTAAGATTTTGCACGTGATCATGTTATGTCAATAATATTCAGCATTGTTTAATATAGCAACGACAATTAAAATATTATTCATAATGATTTTTTTATTTTTACTATTATTTTCCTATTAATTTGATTGTATAATCATTCAAATGCGTTATTGAATTAAAATTTAAATACAATAATTAATCATTCACCACTATATAAAAAATATTGAAAGGGATAAAAATTAGCAAAAAGAGAGACAAAAATGTATAAAAATGAATATGGTTAGGGTTTGGATCGGGCTCTAGTCGAGTCTAGCCGCCCCTTATATTTGTCCATGGAGAGAGATGGCTATGATTAAGTTCCATAGAAACTATCAAGTCCACATTAGGGCCCCCCGGGGCATATCCCAACGATGTAAAGGACATGAGTGAGGTTATTTCATGTCTTGCTGACAGTTGCAGTGTGGGGGTTCGATTCTTAAGACATGAAATTGGACTT